AAGAAGTAAATGCTAGGGTGTTCGGGAGAAGGGGTGGGATTAAATTATGGGGAATCAAATTCAAAATGGGAATTGACACAGTTACTTTTTGCTGATGATACTGTGCTTATGGGAGATTCAAAAGAAAAATTGCAAAGGTTAGTGGATGAGTTTGAGAATGTGTGGTAAAGGTAGAAAGTTGAAAGTGAAACATAGAAAAGAGTAAGGTGATGAGGGTATCAAATGATTTAGATAAAGAAAAATTGGATATCAAATTGGGGAGGAGGAGTATGGAAGAAGTGAATGTTTTTCAGATACTTGGGAGTTGACGTGTCGGCGGATGGATTTATGAAGGATGAGGTTAATCATAGAATTGATGAGGGAAAAAGGTGAGTGGTGCGTTGAGGTATATGTGGAGTCAAAAAACGTTATCTATGGAGGCAAAGAAGGGAATGTATGAAAGAAATAGTAGTACCAACACTCTTATATGGGTGTGAAGCTTGGGTGGTAAATGCAGCAGCGAGGAGACGGTTGGAGGCAGTGGAGATGTCCTGTTTAAGGGCAATGTGTGGTGTAAAAATTATGCCCGAAAATTCGGAGTGTGGAAATTAGGAGAAGGTGTGGAGTTAAAAAGCATTAGTCAGAGGGCAGAAGAGGGGTTGTTGAGGTGGTTTGGTCATTTAGAGAGAATGGATCAAAGTAGAATGACATGGAAAGCATATAAATCTATAGGGGAAGGAAAGAGGGGTAGGGGTCGTCCTCGAAAGGGTTGGAAAGATGGGGTAGAGGAGGTTTTGTGGGCGAGGGGCTTGGACTTCCAGCAAGCGTGCATGAGCGTGTAGATAGGAGTGAATGGAGACGAATGATACTTGGGACCTGACGATCTGTTGGAGTGTGAGCAGGGTAATATTTAGTGAAGGGATTCAGGGAAACCGGTTATTTTCATATAGTCGGACTTGAGTCCTGGAAATGGGAAGTACAATGCCTGCACTTTAAAGGAGGGGTTTGGAATATTGGCAGTTTGGAGGGATATGTTGTGTATCTTTATACGTATATGCTTCTAAACTTTTGTATTCTGAGCACCTCTGCAAAAGCAGTGATAATGTGTGAGTGTGGTGAAAGTGTTGAATGATGATGAAAGTATTTTCTTTTTGGGGATTTTCTTTCTTTTTAGGGTCACCCTGCCTTGGTGGGAGACGACCGACTTGTTGGAAGAAAAAAAACAAAAAACAAAAAAAAACATGTACAAGGTATGCAGGCCTAGCTGACATCAATGACATACTACTACAGTGGGCACTAGGTTATCGGCCGTTCCTGTTATCGGCCAACTCGGTGATCGGTCGGTTTGTCGGCTCCCGGTGATCGGCCGTTATTTCAGTGATTGGCAGTTTCAGACACGTCTGTCCGCCAGCTGGGGTCACTTGCACGTCAGCTTGGCTGTGTCTCTTGGTGCGCGAGGAAGCTTCTGCTCATACATCCAAACATTTCACTTGTTTTCCATTGTTTTTTTTTTTTTTTTTTTGCAGTGCAACTGCAAAATAAGTAACCATGGCTCCAAAGAAAGTTCCTAGTAAAGTTCCTGTGATAAAGAAAGTGAGAAACACAATGGAATTCAAGCCTGAAGTGATTGATAAATGCAAGAGTGCTATGCGGGTCCTGGAACTTGCCAGGATGTACGGGAAAAACAAATCAATAATTACATCCATCCTGGCAAAGAAAGAACAAATCAAGGACGCTAACGTTGCGAAAAGAGTAACTTTTCTAACGAAACAAAGGCCACCAATAATGGAAGTGTGGATTAAGGAAAAACAATTAGTGGGAGACAGTGTTGTGGAATCTATTATTTGTGAGAAGGCAAAGCAGTTACATGAGGATCTTCTACAGAAAACTCCTGGAACAAGTACTGCTGGTAGTGAATTTAGGGCCAGCAAAGGCTGGTTTGAGAGATTTAAGAAGCATAGTGGCATACACAGTGTTGTAAGGCATGGAGAGGCTGTAAGTTCTGATAAATGTGCAGCTGAAAAGTATGTACAGGAATTCAAGGACTATGTAAAGGCTGAAGAATTCAAACCCCAACAAGTGTTCAACTGTGATGAAACAGATCTGTTTTGGAAGAAAATGCCAATTAGGACCTACATCATGCAGGAAGAAAAGGCACTGCCAGGACACAAGCCTATGAAAGACAGGCTTACTCTTTTGTTGTGTGTTAATGCTAGTGGGGATTTCAAAGTGAAGCCTTTACTGGTGTATCACTCAGAAAATCCCAGAGTGTTCAAGAAAAGCAATGCCGTCAAGAATAGATTGTGTGTGATGTGGAAAGCTAATCATAAGGCATGGGTCACAAGGCAAATTTTCAGTGGGTTAATGATGTGTTTGGCCCAAGTGTGAAAAAATACTGCCTGGAAAAGAAAGTGCCACTCAAGTGTCTCCTGGTACTGGACAATGCTCCTGCACATCCTCCAGACTTGGAAGACCAAGTGTTTAGGGACTTCAGTTTTATAAGAGTGAAGTTCTTGCCTCCTAACACCACTCCTCTCCTCCAGTCCATGGACCAGCAGGTCATTTCTAACTTCAAAAAGCTCTACACCAAAGCAGTGTTTGAAAAGTGCTTTGAAGTGACCTCGGACACTCAGCTGACCCTAAGAGAGTTCTACAGGAATCACTTCAATATCCTCAATTGCATAAGCTTTATAGGTAAGACTTGGGAGGGAGTGCCTTCCAGGACTTTGAACTCTGCTTGGAGAAAATTGTGGCCAGATTGTGTCCAAGAGAGGGATTTTGAAGGGTTTGAGGCTGACCCTGACCTTGCCAACCCTGTGGACTCTATTGTGGCACTGGGGAAGTCCCTGGGGTTGGAGGTGAGCAGCGAGGATGTGGAAAAGTTGGAGGACCACAGGGAAGAGCTAACCACTGAAGAGCTGCAAGACCAACTCGAACAGTAACAGACTGCAGCTAAGGAACTTGCTTCAGAGGAGGAAGAGGGAGTGAAGGAGGTGCCTTCTTCAGAGATTAAAGAGGTGTGTGCAATGTGCACTAGGGTGCAAGCTTTTGTAGAGAAACACCACCCTGACCAATCTGAAACAAGCCATATCTGCAACATGTTCAGTGACAAACCCTGTCCCACTTCAGGGAAATCTTAAAGAGACACCAGAAACAGACCTCTATGGACAGATTTGTTGTGCGACAGGGGTCCAGTGACTGAAGCTGGTCCTAGTTGCGTTAAAAGACAAAGAAGGGAAGTAACCCCAGAGAAGGCTTTGCTACCTGAAGTCTTTATGGAGGGGGATTCCCCTTCCAAACACTAACTCCTCCCTCTTTCCTCCTCCCTGTCTTCCAGAAGCCAGCATTAGTCTTCAATAAAGGTATGTAATATTTATATAATTGTTAAAAAAATTATTTTTTGTGAATATTTTTGTCTGGAACAGATTAACTGTATTTCCATTAATTATTATGGGAAATATTATTTAAATTTTCGGCCATTTCAGTTATAGGCTGTGCTTCTGGAATGGATTACAGCCGATAACCGAGGGTCCACTGTATATACAGAAAGCCACATGTTATGCAGAGCATTTCTGGTAAATTAGGTCAGTTTTGTCCCAGGATGTGACCTACACCAGTCAACTAATGCTCAGGTACCCATTTTACTGATGGGTGAACACAGACAACCGGTGTAAGCAAACACGTCCAATGTTTCCACCCCTTCCCCAGGAATTGAACCCGGACCCTCACCGTGTGAAGCAAGAGCTTTTGCCACCAGGCCACGGGGCACCATACACCTGACAAATCTTACCTAACCTAACCTCTGCACCCCCTGGTCTGTCTTTTATTACTTGGGCTGATTCAATTATTAGGATGCCATAATTATTATTATTATTTTTTATTATCACACTGGCCGATTCCCACCAAGGCAGGGTGGCCCGAAAAAGAAAAACTTTCACCATCATTCACTCCATCACTGTCTTGCCAGAAGGGTGCTTTACACTACAGTTTTTAAACTGCAACATTAACACCCCTCCTTCAGAGTGCAGGCACTGTACTTCCCATCTCCAGGACTCAAGTCCGGCCTGCCGGTTTCCCTGAACCCCTTCATAAATGTTACTTTGCTCACACTCCAACAGCACGTCAAGTATTAAAAACCATTTGTCTCCATTCACTCCTATCAAACATGCTCATGCATGCCTGCTGGAAGTCCAAGCCCCTCGCACACAAAACCTCCTTTACCCCCTCCCTCCAACCTTTCCTAGGCCGACCCTACCCCGCCTTCCTTCCACTACAGACTGATACACTCTTGAAGTTATTCTGTTTCGCTCCATTCTCTCCACATGTCCGAACCACCTCAACAACCCTTCCTCAGCCCTCTGGACAACAGTTTTGGTAATCCCGCACCTCCTCCTAACTTCCAAACTACGAATTCTCTGCATTATATTCACACCACACATTGCCCTCAGACATGACATCTCCACTGCCTCCAGCCTTCTCCTCGCTGCAACATTCATCACCCATGCTTCACACCCATATAAGAGCGTTGGTAAAACTATACTCTCATACATTCCCCTCTTTGCCTCCAAGGACAAAGTTCTTTGTCTCCACAGACTCCTAAGTGCACCACTCACCCTTTTCCCCTCATCAATTCTATGATTCACCTCATCTTTCATAGACCCATCCACTGACACGTCCACTCCCAAATATCTGAATACATTCACCTCCTCCAATCTGATATCCAATCTTTCATCACCTAATGCCATAAACCATTACCAATCATTGCTGATTATATTTTATTAGAGAAATAGGGTAAATCTTTAATTCTGTGTAAAATTGGCTAAATTACTGAATTCTGTGCACTTTATAGGGTAGTTCTGATAGTTGAATGGGTAGTTTCATGTGCTCAATTGATAGAACAGAAGCCATACTAGGAAAATAGCTAAAAATTGGCAAACTGAATAATGGAATTGTCTGTTCATGGCAGGAGCACTAAACATGTAGGAGTCAGACTGGAAAAATAGGAGGCAATCAGGTTTTACCTCAAACTCTTCCTCTTTTTCCACCATTCTTCTCTGTACTGGACTGAAGAAGTGACAGGCTGGTGAAACACTTCCTCAGTAAAGATTCCAAAATGTTGCACAACTTGTCTTCAACATGTCGGTTTTCTAAATTATTTATCACATCCAATTCCTTGGATCAAGAGCCCCTCATTTGATAGCATCTGAAAGTGACAGAGAGGATGACCAGAAGTCCAACTGTAATATAATTAAAGCCTGTTGCCCTGTGGCCTGGTAGGCAACACTCGCCTCACACACTGTGTCCGTGGTTCGATCCCCGGCCAGGTGGAAACATTGGGCATGTTTCCTTACACCTGTTGTCCCCGTTCACCTTGCAAGTAGATAGGTACCTGGGTGTTAGCTGACTTGTGTGGGCTGAATCCTAGGGAACAAGATTGAAGGACTCCAATGAAATAAGACAGTCCTTGATGATGCACTGACTTTCTTGGGTTATCCTGGGTGGCTAACCCTTCGGATTAAAAATTCAAACAAAATCTTATCTTAACCAACAACTTTGTCAGCTTTCTCATAAGTAGCAAGTTTAGTACTAAGAAATAGTTGGAAAAGGATAACAGCCTGTGGAAGATTGGAAATTCTTGAATTGAGGACATGAATGGGAGTCTGCAATATAAGTAGTAAGTTTATTTTGGTACAGGTACATATAAATACAGTTACACAAATCATCGTACATAGTAACGTGAGTAAATTACCCACCAGGATAACCCAAAAAAGTTATTGAGGGTCCTTGCATTTCTAATGAGGTGACCTAGTTTACTTCTGAAAACTAGTGGAAGCTGTCAGTTACATGTTTAGATCTAACAAAAAGACAATTAATGTGCCATATGTACACTTCTTTTATATGTATTTTATTTACTTTCTTCACAGAAGAATATAATACAAATTGCACACAGTACTGAACCACTAATATAATTAACATATCTAGAAAACATTTAATACACAGGATGGCTCCGCTTTACAGAGCTTCGCTTTATGGTGTTTCACCAGCGCAGCAGTTTTCAATTATGTGTATACCCATTCTTCATTTATTCAGGCTTCCTACAATAAATATATTCACCACTCACTTTAAGATACGGACAAAAATTATTTGAGGCAAGTAATGAGTACTGTATATGAATTTTTTAAGCCTAGCTCACTTAATATATGATAGCATAAACATGTTATCAGGCTTTTATATATACGTTGCAAAGATTTTCGTTTTACAACAGTAGCCCAGAACCTGACCTGCTGTATCAGCGGGACCCTTCTGTAATACCACTTGCATCACTGTAAATGCTACAGTACCTAAAATACTCTTATATGATAAACTCATTATTCATTCAGGTTGTAAATAAGTAGATAGTAACCATACAGGTAGATACAAACATCCTGTCATATGAGTGTGAAATAGAAGCCTGTTTAACATTTTGAACCAGGCTTGATTAATGATATTTTCTACTGTACTTATCCTTTCCTTTCTGTATATTTCTTAATACATTTTATTCTTATTCCTGGAATAGTCTTCTTAAGTTAGGCTTAAATTTGCCCAAAATGCTCTGTGTAACTATGGGTATCTGCATGCACAACTAAATGTCTCCCATCTCTGTACAAATGTGGAGATGAAACGACATAGAGATGGAACAACAATGTGCTGCAGAGGAGGATGAAACCAAGGATGCAGTACTACCATGAATATTATCAACTAAAGATTTATTCAAGACTTTCCAGTTGTTAGATAACGCTATGATCATTTTCACCAAAAAAATCCAGAATGAGAGAGAGAAGTTCAGAAGGAAACAGGATTGCCTAGATTGCTTTGACACAATTTGCAGGATCTGATGTCCTGTAATGCTTCATTATTTTGCTTGTATTTCCTTGCTCTGTTCTCTATAATAATTCCTTCATCGTACAACCCCAACATGGAATTATACAAACTGAAGGAAAAACAAGAAAGACAACAAATCTCGGATGTGTTTTTTTGAAACCCCAGTTGGAGCAGTTGCAGCACCACCACCAACACCACCCATCACTCCGCTCCAACCTGAGGTTTACCTGAAGAGGTTTTCAGGGGTCAATGCCCCCGTGATCCGGTTTGAGACCAGGCCTCATGGTGGATCAGGGTCTGATCAACCAGGCTGTTACTGCTAGCCTCACGCAAGCTGACGTGTAAACCACAGCCCGGTTGGTCAGGTACTGACTTTAGGTGCCTGTCCAGTGCCTTTTTGAAGACAGCCAGGGGTCTATTGGTAATCCCCCTTATGTATGCTGGGAGGCAAGTCTTGGGCCCCTGACACTTCTTGTGCTGTCTCTGTGTACTCGTGGCGCCCCTGCTTTTCATCGGGGGAATGTTGCATCTCCTGCCAAGTCTTTTGCTTTCATAGGGAGTGATTTTCGTGTGCAGGTTTGGTACCAATCCCTCCAGGACCTTCCAAGTGTATATTATCATGTATCTCTCTCACTTGCATTCAAGGGAATACAGATCAAGGACCTTCAACCTTTCCCAGTAGTTTAGGTACCTTATCATACTTATGTGTGCCATGAAAGTTCATTGTACACTCTCCAGGTCTGCAATGTCACCAGCCTTGAAGGGGGCCGTTAGTGTACAACAGTATTCCAGCCTAGAGAACACAAGTATTTTGAAGAGAATCATCATGGGCTTAGCATCCCTAGTTTTGAAGGTTCTCATTATCCATCCTATCGTTTTCCTAGCGGATGAGGCAGATACATTGTTGTGGTCTTTGAAGGCGAGATCCTCTGACTTTACCACTCCCAGGTCCTTCACATTACTTTTCTGCTCTACTGTATGGTTAGAATTTGTCATATACCCTGACACATTTTTAATTTCTTCAAGCTTCCCATATCTGAGTAGTTGAAATTTCTCCTTGCTGAACTTCATATTGTTTTGAGTGGCCCATTCGAAGATCAGGTTGATGTCCGCTTGGAGTCTCGCGGTGTCTTCGATGGAGGTCACTGCCATGGAAATCCGGTTGTCATCCGCAAAGGAAGACAGGGAGCTATGGCTTACATCTCTATGTCAGAAATGAGGATGAGGAACAGAATGGGAGCAAGTACTGTGCCTTGTGGAACAGAGCTTTTTACCATGGCTGCCTGGGACTTGACTCTGTTTACTATTACTCTTTGTGTTCTATTTGTCAGGAAGTTGTAGATCCATCTACCAACTTTTCCCGTTATTCCTTTATCACGCATTTTGTGTGCTAATACACCATGGTCACACTTGTCGAAAGCTTTTGCAAAGTCTGTGTATACTACATCTGTATTTTGTTTATCCTCTACAGTGTCCAGGTAACACCAGGCCCCTCAGGAATTTCTTGCAACACTCCTACCCTCACCTTCTGTGATAATAATGACCAAACTGCTTCTCTGCCCTTCAGCGATCATGATCATGATCCAGACTCACCTTTACCCATCACCAGTGATGAGGCTTAAGCCTCCCTCTCCATACTACACATCACCACTACAACCACCAAACCCCCACTAACGGATTCACCAAAACTTGAGCAAATAATTATCTTAATTCTTTTATTAATATTTCTTAAATGTATGTATAGCTTACATTTATTTCAATGTTTAATATTAGAAGTGCTTTGGGTCTTTATTATAAGTTTGGTGATGTTCTGTGGCCAGAAATATGCCGTAGGAAAGTAACTTTTTTTTAATTAGCCTAAGGTACAACTGGTTTCATTATACATACATTGTTTCGCTTAAAGTCGCAGTTTCCAAGAACCTATCAATGACGTTAAATGAGGACTTACTGTACAAACACTATATTGTGCTAAAATAAAATTATTATTATCTCAAGCATTCACAAGACCAAGAAAAACATTAGATATTCGGTCAAAATGAAAAAAACTAACAGGTTTCTATTTCACACAAATTTGACAGAACTGTATTACCTCCCTGGATGGTTTCTATCCACTAACCTACCCTTAACAGATACACATATCAGAGTAAGTCTTATTTAATAAATCAGTTAAAGGCTAGAGCTAAAAAAAAAAAAATACCTTAATGAATGAAGGTGTAGAAAGGAAGGAGTGATTTCTTGTCCTGTTAAAATATTCATAACATAGCCTTGATATGACATACAGTATTCATTTTCTACATGGATTTTCTTTTGTTAGTATTCACTATGGGTTGAGGATTAAGACAGCATGCATTTGTGCCTCTGTAACTTAAATAACTTTGTAACATAAGAACCCCTAGGAAAATAATTCCAATTGACTTTATTGGGCTATCCAAAGTTAAAACTTTGCATAATTAACTGTGTAAGACTGACTGAAAGGGTGTATGCAAATACAGTGGACCCTCAGCTAACGATGGCATCAGCTAACGTTAAATCCAGCCAACGATACATTTTAATGCAAAAATTTTGCCTCGGCTAACGCAAAAATTTTGCCTCGGCTAACGCTAAAAAACTCACCCAACGCGATTTGTTCGAGACACGCCCACATGTGGCCTGAGTACACCTCAGTTGTCCCGTGGGTGCCAGTGTTTACAAGCCAGCCAGTGCGGTCGCATCCACGCATACAATCGGAACATTTCATATCATCACAGCGTTTTTAGTGATTGTACCTGCAAAATAAGTCACCATGGGCCCCAAGAAAGCTTCTAGTGCCAACCCTGCAGGAAAAAGAGTGAGAATTACTATGGATATGAAGAAAGAGATAATTGATAAGTATGAAAGTGGAGTGCGTGTCAAGGAGCTGGCCAGGTTGTATACCAAACTCCAATCAACCATCGCTACTATTGTGGCCAAGAAAACGACAATCAAGGAAGCTGTTCTTGCAAAAGGTGCAACTTTGTTTTCGAATAAGAGATTGCAAGTGATAGAAGATGCTGAGAGACTGTTACTGGTGTGGATAAACGAAAAACAGATAGCAAGAGATAGCATCTCTCAAGCGATCATATGTGAAAAGGCTAGGAAGTTGCATGACGATTTAATTAGAAAAATGCCTGCAACTAGTGGTGATGTGAGTGAATTTAAGGCCAGCAAAGGTTGGTTTGAGAGATTTAAGAATCGTAGTGGCATACATAGTGTGATAAGGCATGGTGAGGCTGCCAGTTCGGACCAAAAAACGGCTGAAAAATATGTGAAGGAATTCAAGGATTACATAGACAGTGAAGACTTGAAACCTTAACAGGTGTTTAATTGTGACGAAACAGGCCTGTTTTGGAAGAAAATGCCAAACAGGACCTACATTACTCAGGAGGGAAAGGCACTCCCAGGACTTAAGCCATTGAAAGACAGGCTTACTCTGTTGATGTGCACTAATGCTAGTGGTGATTGCAAAGTGAAGCCTTTATTGGTGTATCACTCTGAAACTCCCAGAGTGTTCAAGAGAAACAATGTCCTCAAGGCTAATTTGTGTGTGATGCGGAGGGCAAACAGTAAAGCATGGGTCACTAGAGACCTTTTCTATGACTGGTTACACCATGCATTTGCCCCCACTGTGAAAAATTACCTCCCAGAAAATAAATTGGACCTTAAGTGCCTCCTGGTATTAGACAATGCTCCTGATCATCCTTCAGACTTGGCAGAGTGACTTTGTGGGGACATGAGCTTCATTAAGGTCAAGTTTTTGCCTCCTAATACCACTCCTCTCCTGCAGCCCATGGACCAGCAGGTCATTTCAAACTTCAAAAAACTCTACACAAAAGCTGTTTCAAAAGTGCTTTGTAGTGACCACAGACACTTAACTGACTCTAAGAGAGTTTTGGAGAGATCACTTTAGCATCCTCAATTGTGTAAACCTTATAGGTAAGGCTTGGGAGGGAGTGACTAAGAGGACCTTGAACTCTGCTCGGAAGAAACTGTGGCTAGAATGTGTAGACAAAAGGGATTTTGAAGGATTTGAGGCTAACCCTGAGAAGTGTATGCCAGTTGTGGAATCAATTGTGGCATTGGAGAAGTCCTTGGGGTTGGAGGTTAGTGGGGAGGATGTGGAAGAGTTGGTGGAGGAGGACAATGAAGAACTAACCACTGATGAGCTGCTTGATCATCTTCAACAGCAAGAGGCCAGACCTGAGGAAACTGCTTCGGAGGAGGGGATAGAGAAATTGAAGAAGTTGCCTACCTCAAAGATTAAGGAAATGTGTGCAAAGTGGCTTGAAGTGCAAACCTTTTTTGATGAAAATCACCCTCACACAGCTATTGCAAGCCGTGTTGGCAACCTGTACACTTACAATGTTGTGAACCACTTTAGGAAAGTCATAAAGGAACGGGAGGTACAGGCCTCTATGGACAGATATGTTGTGCGACAGAGGTCCAGTGACTCTCAAGCTGGTCCTAGTGGCATTAAAAGAAGAAGGGAAGTAACCCCAGAAAGGACTTGCTACCTCAAGTCCTAATTGAAGGGGATTCCCCTTCTAAACATTAACAACTTCCACACTCTCCCCTCCTCCCATCCCATCAATCATCACCAGATCTTCAATAAAGGTAAGTGTCAGTTTGTGTGTATTAAAATTAATATTTCATGTGGTAATTTTTTTTTTTTCATACTCTGGGGTGTCTTGCACAGATTAATTTGATTTCCATTATTTCTTATGGGGAAAATTAATTCAGCTAACTATAATTAAATCTAATGATGAGCTTTCAGGAACAGATTAATATCATTAGCTGAGGGTCCACTGTACTGGTTTGGCAGTATAATTGCAAGATGAGTAGAAAAAATTCCCAGGTAGCCTGCCTGGGCTAAGAACTTTGACAAGCTATAAACATAGGTTGGACAGATACATGAGCGGGTGTGGGTAGGTGTGTGTCTGACCTGCGTAGCATAGGCCAGTAGGCTTACTACTGTTTCACTGTTCTTACGCTTCATAAGATCACTGAAAACTTTAGTCTCTCTCTTGCTGTGACACCTTATTTCCCTAATGTGACTCTAGCAACAATTAATTATGCTAAATAATTGCTTCAACCTTTACTGTCCCTCTCCTTCTTTATCACTCCTTCATCTCTTGTACTTAGCTTCAGCCTTACTATATCACTAAATATACTTTTTTATTGAATTACTAAATACCTCCAATATTTTAAAACTATGTATTCTTATTCTCATATACTTGTAATCATAATTAAGTCATAAGGCTGCCTGAAATGATTTTCATAAGAGGCTTTATTATTATTATAATCAAGGGGGAAGCGCTAAACCCGGAGGATTATACAGCGCCTGGGGGGGGGATGTGGAAGGCATTCAGGCTTAATTCGGGGAACTGGAGCACAGATCCAATTCCCTAAATCAAGAGCCCCTCACCAACATCAAGGAACCTTCCTTGAGGGGATAAGAGGCTTTAGTAAGTTTATTTACGCACAGGTACACAAACACAATTATAGTGTAAATAACCCAAGATAACTCAAAAAAGCCAAAGTGACTTATTTCCACTGGGGTCCTTGTCAATCACCTTAATTGTATAATATACTGTACTCCAGTTCTTAGAAATAGTTTGTTTAAAGCTTAAACTTGAATAAACTAAATAAAACCTCAATTCTCAATAAAACAGCATAACTTATTTCCCTTGGTGGTTGTCAGATAAGTTAATGAATATAGTGACATCATTTAACAGACCCAAGAGCTGAGACTCAACCCCTGCAACCACATGTAGGTTAGCACACCCAGCTATTTATTTATTTATTTTATTTATTTTTTAATTTGAACATGATACATAGAAGTACAAGGAAATACAGTGGTTAAGTGTAACATGCCAAAGCCCCTTGTATGCAGAGTATTATGGGCAGGCTTAAAATTAACTGAAGATTAACTAAGCAATGATATATTCAGTGGTAAACATTGTTGTAAACAGTTAACAATTAATCACAAATGAGTATTTCAAAGACAGGTCATATGGTCATTTACTATGTTGCTGAGCATTTAGTAGAATGGAGTATTCTGTTAGGTAATGTAATTACCTAATGTTCCACAGTCAGCCCTCCTGGCCCTATATCACTTCTTATTTACCCTATCTCACTACGGAATTTTAGGCATGGGCTCAACATTCATTAAACCAACTCTGAGACCACTAATTACCCAACAAAATTACTGCAGTTAAATTTATAACAAATTCTCACTACAGGCAGCACACTCCACCAAATATTCAATACACTTTAAACCTACTTTACCTACAAAACATCCATACTTATTACTGCACCCCATTTCATACAAGACCCCTTACTCGAAAATTTAACCTCCCCATCAAATTCCTTGCCAAAACCCCAACAGAACAATGCCATAACACAAGGAAACAGATCACTCTTTGTTTTCCCTTGTGTTCATCTCACACTAGGCAAAAACAATGACATAAAAGGCCCAAAATCTGACTTTATACCTGTTAAATATAAAGAAACACACGTTTAAAAATTTTAAAGTTCTTCTCAAAGATCACTTACTCACCCAAAAACCAAATAAATACTGAATAAAACTGAACCTTATAAATTGTATATCTTAATGTTTCTCACTTTATATCACATAATGTTAAACCTAAAACCGAATCTAACCTTTTTTATATTTTTAAAAATTACACTATAACAGAATCCTTCATATAAACTGAATGCACCTAGACCTGTCTTGGTAATCTCACTTGTGCTTTATAGTAATCTGTTTACATTTGTTTATCCTGACTTCATCTTTTGTTAGAAAAATATTAAGTTAATTTTAAGCCAGCCCGTAATGCGCATAGTATAAGTGGCTTTGGCATGCTGCTCTTATCTGTATTTTTTTGTACCTCTGTATGTGTGCTCAAATTTATAATAAATAAAAATAAAAAAAAATAACAAAGTTTGATTGGGTCACAGGTTAAACATTTATGAGATACAATTATTCAACATTTATTTGGTTGTGGGTGAGTAAGTGATTTTTAAGAGACTTGAATTTATAAAGACAGTGTTTCTTTAATATTTCCCTTTATATTGAGAAATTTAAAAAATCCAAGATAAAGTTAATTTAGGTACAGATATACATACATACAATTATCATATAGTGTAAATTACCCACCAGAATAGCCCCAAAAAAGTTAATGATTTATTAAATAAGTTTATTTAGGTACAGGTCTACATAAATAGTTACACAAATTATCAAACAAAATAACATGCATAAATTACCTAGGATAACCCAAAAAGGTCAGACAAGTGACTTATTTCCACCGTGGGCCTTGTAATATTTTATTATTTAAACCATAAAACTTAAAACAAGCAATACAAGGGAAGCAAGACATGTTGAGACAATACAGCAGTGATAGCAGCAGTAATGTCTCTCACACACTAACTCCCCCCCCCCCACAGACAACCAACAAACAACTGTCACTCTCCCAGAGGCTGTCATCACACAGACAACCTTCCCCAGACATGTGGCTACAAAATACAAAAGTGTAGAGGTGTATAATATGGCATCAATGTGTAGAGTGAGTTTCAAGGCCAGTGTGTGGCAGTATGTCTCTCCCCGCCTCCTCTCTCACCTCTCCCTCCTCTTGCCTCACCTGCCTCGTCCCTAGCCTCACGCCCACACGCCCACCACCCACCACATCACCTGTCACGAGCACAAAAACCATAACTCATAATAATACAAACCCAGTAAATCAGAATAGTAGTGGGTGGGCATTTGAAAAATGTGGTTGCCATTACCAACACATATTTATATACCAAATTTAAACCGCTTACTTTCTACGAGATAAAACCACCTTTTTATTATTATTAACACCTTACCTGCACAAGCAGTGAGATGGTAAGCTGGTCAGCTAGCCCAAAAGTCCCTACAGCAGGACTCAATTTAGTGGGAAAGAAATATCGATCTCAATCGACGCTACCTTCGCCATTTGCATGTGTAAACAAAACATGCACCAAGCGATAGCCAGGCCCACTTTTAACCGCTTTTAATTAAACCACATTTTGACCCACTTTTTATAAACACCATAGCACTTCATTATACATTAAAATGATTACTACATATCCAATACACATGGACTGTTCTTATAGACTTCTATAGGAATAATGTGAGTGAAAAAAATGTTAAACATCAATTTTCATTTCGGCGATATGGTCTCGCTGGGAACCAGATGTTCCCGCGAAAAGTTCTTAAAATGTATTTGTTTTTTTTATCGTGTAAATTATATATGTTTTGCCGGAGCTGTATTTCCCAGGGAAATAAACAATTATATCGAGGGGGAAATATGATTAAACGGGCAACAATAGTTTTATTTACATTTACATCTCATTTG